CTCAATGTAATGGACTGTGATTCACATTGAAATGAACCTTAGTCACTGCGATCACGGGGACCGTATTCAAAGTAGATGGAAATTTGGTATTGCCCACCCGAAAACACTGCACAGCCACGACGCGTTTCGATGCAATTTCATCTCATCAGGTGGATCACAGTCCATTACATTGAGGTTGCGGGTCGCAATCCAATCACACAACGTGTAATCCAAACTTGACCCTCCAATTAGTCATCTACCGTTGTGACAAAAAGCATTACCCATCGTGACCCGGTAGCCAAAGGGGTAGTAGTGTTGGCTGCTATTCCAATGGTCGTGGGTTCAAATCCTGCTGTCTCCACCTGATGAGATGACTTTAACTTTGTTATGTGGCACCGTGCAGGGATGGTTTTCTGGTAGTTTTGGAAGCCTCAGCTTCTTATTCCGAGTGAGACCAAAATGTTTCCCGAAGACCTCCAGTTTGATGCAGCTGTACACGTAGAACCCGACAAAGAATATGTCAGAACAGAAAACTGGAGCAAGAGTGTAATCCACACAAGTTATATCCAAGAGCCGGGAAACACTGAGTAGAGCTTCTCGAACTAGTTCCAAAGAGGACACGCGTAGTATTGTGTGGAGAGAATTATAGTGGCCACAGAGGGCGTAGCGCGAGCTGCGTTAAAATACAGCAGTACAACGTGGTCTGCGCTAGAGAAAACGTGTCCCACTGGCACAGTATGACCAACTACCTGCTCGTCGTCTTTGGCTTGGTGTCCTGACACTTTTCTCTGTTCGGCGCTGGCGTTCTCTGTGGCCGCATCGGTTGTACACTGATCATCTGTGTTTCTTAGAGGGACAGTAGGGTTTTACCTTGAATCTAATTCGTTCTAGTCTTTGGGCAGAAATGTGCGTGCCCACAAGTCGAGAGTTTCGTTGGCCTACGCTCGAGAACACGTATCTAACTCATTCACAATGCCTCGCTGAAAATTCGTTATTTCAAATTGGCTACCCATCATAGCCAGTTGGAATGCCGCCGGAACTTGCCCTCACTTCGTGTGGGCAGTTGTTGGACACTTTTACTAGTTCCATTATCACTGCTCCGACTCTAGTCGATTTCAATAAGCTACTCGCTGATGCATTCCTCCACTTATCAAATATGATTAAGCCAAGTTAATGGTACCATTCGTATAGTAATCAGACCGTGAGCACACGTGATCTGCGTGGAAAGCACACAGATACGCATGATATTTGCTACGTTTACTCTTTATTTTACCCTTTCCCCTCTGTAACTCGCAGTACCTTTGCCTTTTTACTTGACTTGTTCCACTGATCCATCGGATGACGAGACACTGCTCACTTCGGATTTAGTGAATCAGGTAGGTCTTGATCGGTGGGGGGAAGTAAAGAATAACTAAATAAAGCTTTGTTCGACGATGCGGGTTATGTCCACACATATAGTATCATCAATTGATGAACAATGAACTGTGTCCAGATGAGTACCTTGAAGTGCCTGTGCTAATTTGAATGTTTTAGCTTTCCACAGCGTCGTCGAATCGCGACTTGCTCATAGTCCGCAGCACAGCAGCTCGTGTTCTGATTGGGAGGAGTACAACCATACACTTGTTTCTGAACTACGGGGATCGATAAGTATCCCGGAGGTGTTTTCCTCACTGACATATTAACTAGAGCCAGTAATATGTGACAGAACAAATCCATAACGAACCTCTGCCTATTCATCTTTTGATAAGGAGAAAATTAACTGCGTGTGTCCTGCGCAACTTCCTGGTAACGGTTCAGTGCTTTCCTTAGACAACTCCAAGTCCAACATTAGTAACACTGTACGAGGTACTTTTTCGATTATGTAATTTGGACAATGAAATGGATCCTGTACCCATGTCTGTTCTATGCACGCATGACAGATAGCCCAAGTTAGCGAAATCCAGATGTGCTCTCCAGTCTTCTCGCGTTGTGTTCCCTTAGCCCATCCGAAGATCATTTGCATTAACAATCGTGGATCGAAAAGTCAGTTGTTGATAAAGATACCTGCGGTTCATTCTAAAAGCCGCTAAGGGGCTACTTACTAGTAATCGGGGTCAGGAGGATTAGTTACTGAGGAGACCAATCATAGCTTATAAGTTAATGAGCTCACTTTTGCCGTTGGTTTATATGGAGACCGGAATGTGGATAGCACATGAACCAATTTTAACAGATCTTTCTATCGCTGTTTCTGGAACCCGTACTTGAAGAAGCTCACTCTAAGCTTGACGTTAGGGCTAGTCGAGCTGGAGATTGACGGCTTCCGTTGTGACCATACGTTAAAAAGCTGCTACGCAAAAGTCATTGTCGGCGCTTTAGATGTTGTGTCTGCAACATTATCTAAGGCTATGGTCACACTGACTTGACAGGTGAAAAATCTGTCCAACAACTTACAACCAACAGACCGCATCGTCAAATTGAGAAACAGGCTGACAAAGTTCAGCAAGACTTGATTATCGACAGCATCTGTCAGACGGGAGTACTTAGCATGCCAGTTCATATTTTAATCTTGATAAATTTTATGCCTAGATAAAAATCTTCAAAATCGGTCAGATAACAACAGAGGAGGCTTATACGTGGATTCAGGTAGTAATCTAATGGAAGAATAATCCAGGTAGCTTACGAAGTATACAGGTTTCCTGCAAAATAACCTGTCCACCTGCTCACCTTGTGTTCGAGCTGCAGTCACAAACTGACCTCCAGCTGGGGACGAAGCCATGTTTGGGTGAACTAGAAGCGCAACTTTAGCTTCCCTGTCGGGTAGTAACTAGTAATTCGGTATGCAAAAATAGCTTCTTGACTGAGCTTAAAACATCTTTCGGGCAACCATTCTGTAGCAGGCTCAGCTGCAAATGCTGCACCAGCTGCCCCTCTCCCTTAAGCCCTCCAGCATCATGGCTGTGTTGAAAGTTGCAGATCACATCCAACTGTGCCAAGCCTTATCTAGAACCTACCATCAGTCAGCATGCTTCTGGGGCTAACCGGATTGCGTACCGCTATGACTAGCGACTAACGGCGTGTATCGTGGATACGTCTATGACGACTCCCGTACATTTTTGGTTAACTGTATGATTCGTCCGATTCGGGATTCCGGTTTTCTCCGTGTTCAGTCACTAAAGGAGATCATGATAGACCTGTAATGCTGGGAGGCAAGACAAGTACTCTTTGGGTGGTTGGATTCCATAATCACAACCACCTATTTAGCGATCGGTGTTAATATGAAGATGTGATATCGCTATCTGGCCAACAGATTGGGAGAAACAAAATACGAGTTAGATATAGCCAATGGTAGAATGCCGGAGATAGGGCCAGAAGGTAAAGTGATAAGCAATAACGTTTGTCAGTGTTCGTCTACGGCTAGGGCAGTCTTTGGTCCTTGAAATCGAACAGCGCCATTGGTCCGATAACGGAAGATTCTGATGCCGTATTAGTACTGTGTCATTCTAACGGTGCGTTAGGCAAACATTTGCAAGCCTGCCGCAGAATGTCCACTCGCGTACACAGCAGCAGTGTTTGCGCTATGACTGTGAGCGCCGGGTTAGGATAAACAACAGTGAAAAACAACAGCAAGACTGAACATATACAGTCTTCAACCCTTTGCTGTCAGACCCATACCGGTACTCAAACTCTCAACAAAGCCGTGCTCGCGACCCCCCCACTGTTAGGTTACCTTGATCATTGTCAAGATCCCACCAACATGCACGTGTATAATGTGCGTGTGGACATCACCAGTCTTTTCCAGGCGACCTGTTTGCACACACAAATGATCTAGGAAGTCATTTGCCTGAACGGTTGACGTCAAACTCTCCCGCCTATCAACGCTCCATTTCCATTGGTTACCCGATGTGCCGTGTTCACTTAGTGACCTTGTCAGTCTCTATGTCCGTTGTCCTGACAGGGGGGGGGGGTAGAAACAGGTCATCTGAAGTGCTCTTTCGTGTGATTGGATTGCGACGCGCAATGAAGCGAACCGTGGCCACTCCGATCACTAAGGCCGTAGTTGAAGCTCATGAAAATTGGCGTTGCCCGTCCGCTAACACCGCACACGACTGCGCTTTTAGACCTACTTTGTTCTCATTGGCTGCGGATAGCAGGTCTAGAACCCTTCGGATGATCATTGCAATTATCTCTCGAATGTTTTAATGACAGTTATGTTCTTCATCGCATTAATGTCAGTAACACTGTTCTGATAGACGCTAGTGTAGAGCTCTGGGATCAACTTCATCCCTCAGTCGAATGAGTAAATGTAGATAGCTCCTCGTGTAGTATTCCAATGAGTGAACATTTCAGCCTTCAAGGCTTACCCCGATATGTTCGCTTTTACATGTGACACTATTTCGGAGTGGTGTCTAAGCAAACCGCTTCTGAATCAAGGCATGGAACATACTCCAGTGAACACTTGCTACTTACTTGTGTTGCGAAATCTGGACGGCCTACGCCGTCGGTTTGATAACGGATGTATACACCAATTCTATCTGTTGCTTATTAGCGAAGGACAATACCATCGAAGAGTCAAACCAATCACTAAGATCATTTCACATACGTATTCCGGTTCTCAGTATAACTAAGAGCTTCATTCTGTGTTTCGGTCTAAATGTAGATTATACATCAGGATGCCATAGGTTTTTGCTGTTTGTCAACCCCACTTTGTTGCTGATGTCGTCGGTGAATCTTTCTTCGTGATGCGTAACTCAAAACCCCAGATATTTGGGCGATTATAAATGAAGTTAAAAGACTGGGGCATTGAACAAGTGTGTACTGTGTATTTGCCTAAGGGCAAACTACCATCCGACGACTTCTTTTATTTTATACGAGATTCTCTTTTATCACCTATACCAACCGCATCTCGTCGGCTGGGGTATTGCAGACGCTCACGACACAGTGTTAAAGATATTTACACTCCACCATCTGCTTGTCCAATGAGAAACGTTTTGTTCAGCTGCTCTTGCTTATCGTACACAACATTCTCTACTCATTCTTGTCAGGTCAGGCGATGTGCCGAAGGCCGGGGATGCGTACAGGAGGTGGCCGTGGAGGAAGAGACTTGGTTACAGTTTATGGATTGGACCAATTACGTGATGATGATAACCTTGGGCTACATTGGTGCGCTTGCAGTTCTGCTCACTCTCATTGGTCTGTTCCAGCGTCACAAGGCTTCGGAACGTCCGCAAGCGGAAACTGGAAGTCGGAAATCCAATCCTCTCGCACGCTCGAACACGCGTTATAGTGGTAAACGAACCGAAGTGTTCCCTACATTCACGGATTAATAAAAGAATTGACGCAATGACCAGCTGAGTACATCAATAGACCGAGTGTACCTGTTTTAAATTGTCTACATGAGCGTTGTAATTTCTAGGTCTCCCGGTTTGATGGCCGGAAGAAGTTACGGGGAACTGCATTTCATACATATATTTTACCGCTTTTTACTACTAATCATCCGGTCGGTGTGGGTTCAGTAGTTTAATAGTTCCATCTTGTATATTGTACAGCTAAATACCCTAGTTTTTTGCCGTGGTTGATTCCCCTTTGGAGTATTCCCTTGCGAAATGTCCCAATGTAGGCTTTTATGTGCTGACTGTTGAAAAACTATTTGGTCGTGATTATGCCAATGACATTGGCTTGTTTTTAACGATGTTAGTTTGGTCCAGTCAATCATGAATAAGTTGTCTATAGAGTGATCCCATCATTTGGCATCCCCTTCGCATCGTTCAAGTTCAAAGTGTTGTTGCAAGACCACAGGCTACTTGATGACCCCTTTACTCTTGATTGCAAGGAACTCAGGGTAGTTGATCAATTGACGTACCTTGACAGCTGCATTAGCGACGACTAACAGTTTTTCATTGTTTGCGGTATTTCTGTGGCATCATGTTGACGGGCAGACTATCTTGCACCCCAAATAGATCCCGACGAGTAAGCTTGATAGTATATGTTTCTGTCCATTTTCTTCCAGCCTATAAAGAATCCTGTACAAAAGTTATTGTGTATCTAGTTCAGGATAGATAAAAACAGATAGTATGTTTCTGCGATGAACTCAAACCAGGTTCTTGTAGTTTTCTTGCTTAATTTATTGAATGTGAAGGCATGTAATGGAAGCGTATCTTACCATATTTCATACTGCGCGTTGAAAATTATTACCATCTTCTGGATTTTCCTTGCTTCCCTAGAACCTCGTTGATATTTTCGGCGATTTTGCTTTCCATTCTTCTCTGGTCTTTAAGCCAAGTCTTATTTGATAGGGCTTTGTGCTGATCTCTATGTGCTTGTTGCCTTGCATATCTCTATCACTCTTCACAAGAATTTGGACCGACGAGAAAGTCCCAATTGCATGGTGAGAATGGGTCACTGTCCCGATTCACAAGAAAGGCTCCCGCTAGATTTGCGCCAAGTACCGCAGAATTTCGTTGATCTCGGTTGCTTCCAAGCTTTTCGTGTCTGTTTTGCTCCGCAGGCCCTCAGCGACTAGAAAAGGCGTTTACCGAGAGGAACAAGCGGGTTTTCATCCAGGTCGAGACTGCATTGTGCACATCATCACACTCCGCCAACTTAAACTCCTTCACGTTCACCGACAGCCAACAACCGTAGTGTTCTTGGACATCCGAGCGGCTTTATCTCAGTAGATAGATCTGTGTTGTGGAACTGACTACTAAGAAAAAGTGCGTCCGACAAATTTATAACCATATTGAAGCAGCCATACAGTCACATGTCGGGCAAAGTCAGGACTTACGGCACGCTTTCCATTTGGTTTGCTACCACCCTCAAAACTGTGGTATTGAGCTTCGCTCAGGTGACAGAGTCACGGACTTGGACTACGCCGATGATATGTCTTAGCTAGGGGACGATCCACAAGTCGTCCAGAGCGCTGTGAACCGCTTAGCAATGGAGGCATCTAGGTTTGGCTTGTGTTTCACGCCAAGCAAATGTAAAGTACTACTCCAGGATTAGCGGGTGCCTGTGCCTGCCCGCACCATTGCTGGCGACGTCCTGGAACAAATTCACTACTTCACTTATCTAAGGAGTTGCGTCATAGCTGACGGCTGTATTTGAGATGAGGTCTCACCGCGGATCGCAAAGCTTCACCTTGTATTAATCAGACTGAGGCACTTATAGCGCCGTCGAGAGGTCAGTCTTAAACTCAAGGGAAGGGAATACGTTGCCTCTGTCCGTGAGATCCTGTGGTATGACTGTGCGACCTGTCCGACTCGTTTGGAAGCCATAAAACGATTGTCAGTTTTCCACACTCGTTGTCAGCGTAGGATGGTTCACTTATGGAGGCAGCATCACGTGAGTAACGCAGAGGTCCGAGAGCGAGTAATTGGTGTAAAAATCTCATGCCTCCAAATGGTTATTATCCGACAACTCATGCTTTGACTCGGCCACGTACTACACAGGAAGGCCCATAGATTCCCCGTCGAGCGTTTTATGCCCTCCCCGGAAGCGATTGGAAAAGTGAGGCGGTGGATAACCAATGACGTGGAAAAGGAACATAGATAATACAACCTCAAGCTTGGCATCCGTTGGTCAAGTCCGCCTTCCAGGATAGGGGCCACGCGTTTCGGACTGCCAGTGGTTAGAAACATTGGAGGCTATGGCGCCCAAACGGCATTAGTGGAGACAGCGCTGTTCAATCGTGTAATATATTAGTTAATGTATCATAGAACAGAAAACTCCAAAACACAAAGATAATCCCAAACCGACGCGTAAAACACCAGAAATAAATCTTTTTCTTCTCCTGTAGCATTTCATTTTAACCCTTTGTTTCGCCATGGTTCTGACGGCATATTATCTGTAATCAGGTAGTGAGTATATATGGTTGGTGGCATCCAGTTTCTGATTTACCTGTCACTAAGGGTAGCCAAAAGTCTCCTGCGCCTACAGAGGGACTATGGGTGGCTTGCGTTGCACCACCCAAAGCTCCAACCACACACCCCATATCCAGTGTAAACCCGAAGGAATAAGACCCGGAGGCATGTGGATGAGAGCCACATTTCATCAACGGAGTCGGCCCACACTCCTTTAAACGCAAACACAAGAACGCAGTAATTGGGAATCAAGTGCACTAAATGCAGTGGCTGGACGGTAGTCCGTTCCACACAGGATGGAGCAATCCTTTGAGCGTAGGACGGACACAAGGACCGTTCAGCCCCGTCCCCTCCAGCAACGAGCAACTGTCACCTGGAGCCAGTATGGATGATGTACTGGGTAATAGACAGGCAGGCAGCTTGTCAACATGCACATCAAGTGCAGCCACACCGGGGATGTCAAACAATAGCCAATCACCTAAAATGGCATTGTCAACTGAAATACATCTGTTAAAGCATACGGTTATTCCGACCTAACTCTTCGCTAAATTAGTATATGAAGTAAGTTGGTTAGCAACAAATCCGTGATAAGTAGAAAAGGTCCACAAGTTACTTAAAAATGCTACAAACGCAACAAAGTTATCGAAGACAACCGCAGTTAGCGTAAGCAACGTGGCCAGTTAATAGAAGATTATTCAGGTAGGCAGAGCAAACCAAATAATGTGGAATGAAATTTATCCAGCTTAAAAAGAAATAGTTTAAGTGTAAGTTGGTCTAGCCCAACTGCGGTGAAGGAGCATCATGAATGCAATATCAGTCTAAGCGTAGGGCAATACATTTGAGTATTATAGGTAAATATGGTTGCCAAAAATCCGTTACAGATGTTGGTTGTCAGAGAATATATTTTAAGGAAATAGCACAAACGCGAACATGTTAGCAAACTACAATTAACGTGATCAAGGTGTGCATGTTAATGGAAGATAGTTCAGGTAGGCAATAACGGGACAATATAGTAAACCAACCACTTGAAATAAAGGGACTCAGCATGCAGGCAAGCGGTTAGTAAATCGAATGCAGCGCGCCTGCAAACGCTGCGCCCGTTCTGACTACGTTCTCTGCAGGACACCTCGTCGCTTCGGTAGTGGTCCCGAGTGACCTCGCCCATGGCTCCGTAAGCCGGCTTAACTCGGGCACTCGCGACTGCATGTGTTACAGCATCATGCGCTCGATGCTGATGGAGTACAACCCGACGGCACCTACCGCTTCCGCACATGCCGTTTCTTCTCCGCATGCATGACGTCTTTCTCCTGCACCGCGGCACCAGCCTTCGTGATCAGATAGTACCATGCACGCTGATCAACCGCCTTCGATTCCCATGACCTGCAATGAAAATTAGAACATGAGAGGCTCACATTGATCATGTCCTGGTAACGTAACTTTGGTTTCCCCACATGCCGATTCCCAAAACTCAGCAGACCATGTAATATTTGTTTCGGTATCCGCGTCGAATCCATACGCCACACATGACCGAGCCACCTCAGGTGTCTCAGCAAAAGTATGCAGTCCACTGCACATATTCCACTTCGGCGCAGCACCGTATCCACAGCTCTGTCGCACTAACCAATGCACAGAATCCGTCGCAAAAACTGCTAATAGAACCGCTCGTGATATCTCACATCTCACCGGTAAATCGTTCACGTTTCACTATTGTATAGAAGAACGAACGACTCCATGGATTTGTACACCATCAGCTTCGTGCAAATGGTTAGCTGATGGTTGTTCCACACTCGGCATTCTAGCTTCCCTAATGCCGCTGCTGCCTTCCAGACGCGGATACGAAGCTCACTGTGAAGCTGCTGGTCAGTCGACATCAGACTCCCAAGACAGCGGGAGCGGGAGGTAGTTTCTAATATTGCAGCACCAATGTTAATTGGCGGCAATATTGATTAATACACCCTTGTTGAGGGTTGAAATAGACAGACAGTTTGGCTTGTATTGTTGGTGAGCCCGAACTTGGCCGCTGTCGAAGCCAGAGCACTGGTCATCTGCTGCAACTCATCCGCTCTGTGTGCAAACAAAGCGTAGTCGTCAGCAAACAGCAACATACGGATAGTTGTCTCACAAACTAGAGTTCTGGCACCGAAACGACGGATGTTCAGCAACCCACCCTCAATACGGTGCGCAGCACGAATCCCGTAAGCACAAGCCGCATCAAAAGCACATCGTTGCATGAAGATAGGTATTACATAGGGCGGGAGCTATGATATCGCCTTGTTTCACACTAGAGACAAATGCAAAGTCATCAGGGTTCTGTCCACTCAGCTTTATCCTCGCCCGCATACCACTGTGCAGACATACAATCAAAGTTACAAACTTACGCAGGCAACCAAACATACCGAAAACCAGCACAATGCCTCGCGGTTCACCGTATCAAATGCCTTGGTGAAACAACAAAAGCGAGTACAAAGGCTGGTGTCGTTCTCTGCATTTCTCCTGCTGCTGGCGAGTCGCGAACACCATATATTTAGTGATGCGGCCAAAACAGAATCCAGCTTGCTCTTCCGCCACGTTAGGTTCCACAACCTGACTGACGAGGCTGTTGAGCAGGATTC